CACCTGAAATATATTTTTAATGAAATTAACATATCAAAAAATATTATTAGAACCAGTTCAAAATTATTTGAAGTATACTTTAGTTGGCTCATGGATATGTTCTCTAAATCAAATTAATTTTGTGATTTTCGTTGTACCCAAGAGTTTAGGGTTTTCGACTTGTATTACTACTATAGTGGTTCTCAATTCAAACATTGGAATTTTATTTAACCATAATTTGAAAAAATTATTTTAAAGTGGTTCTGGCCTCTCATCCATGACACCCAATTGGGTATTATGGTGTATTATTAGACAGAAATTATTTCAGACAGTTAAAAATGATTCAAAGTACAGTTTCATTGGCCTAAGGTCATGCCCAGAATGAATGACTGAAATGATTTCACATGGTTCAACTCTAATTTCCAGATATTGTTGCGTTTAAAGTTTTTTATATTTGGTTTTATAAAACAAATGAAGTTTGTGCAGATAGAAGCTGGCAGTGAAAGACATTTCAGGAGTGAAAATAGTAAATAACATCAGAACAATAATTCTCCCTTGTTCTTAAGGATTGGATAAATTCTGAAAAGTAGCCATAGCCACATCATTTTAAATTTGTTCAATATAGAAATGCAAATTGTTGACAAATGAGTTTCTGAATTAAGATACTATTGCTGTATTGAAAATGTTATTGACATTTCAGGGCTTAAGGGAATTTGATTTATATATTTGTATATCACAAAATGTTTTCATATTTGGTAGCTTCCTCTAACTTTAGATTTGTAAATATTGTAGTATAGCAATTTTCATCAGAGTTGGAATGGGAAAGGCTTTGATGTCTTGAGAAATAAGAGTAGAAAATTTTGATTAATTGTGTACTTGCTAATTGACATTCAAACATAACTTGTTATAGAACAAAATTGAAACGCAACAACGGTCATGAAAGTCAGAGAACATAAAATGGATTTTTTTTTAAATTTTCTGTTTTATAATGATTAAAAAAATTACCTGTTCTCTTGATTGAGAAAGTATAATTGAAAAAATTGATTCCCAATGGAATTCACTAAAACCCAAGTTGTAAAATGACTGGAAAAACGATGTTATCGCAACACTAGTGGTATACAATGACCGACACTTGATAATATCCTTCCATGGTATCGGAGTTTTCTGAAAATTTATTTGATTAATTATTAGCAATTTAACATTGATACACAATTGTTTAACTTACACTGTTCTTAGGACGAACAAACTCTAGGCTTTTGTAAATATACCTTTTTTCACCTTCTGTTGTAAACGCACAATCATTTGGTGACCCAGCGCCGAATAAAAACCATAATATTAACCACAATGTTGTTACAGTTCCCAAAAAATAAAAACTGTTTGGATAATTGGTTTCATTCCTAATTAGTTCTGCTATCATGAACAATGTACCACCAAAAACACAACCTTTACAGTAATCAAAAATTTAACATTATCATTAAAATTAGAAAATAATTATAAAACCTTATACCGAAACTAAATATTATTGCAAGAGATCTACATATCTCATGAGTTGGTATCCATTTTCCTATTAGACACAAGGTGGTACACCAGTGTATACTCTAACAACAAAATGTATCATCATGCAAATTATCGTACAATATTAATTTAATGTATGTTTCAAACAACATAAATAATTAAAATCCAAGTCAATATATAAATCTGTGTATTACTTATAATTTAAAGAAATGTTCATACCCGAGCCAGACTAAAGACAATCATTGTAATACCAAAAGCATATGATTCTGCTACAGTTAGCAAAAAAGGCAATGCAAATGATATAACTGCATTTAGTGCATTGGATAAGAACAAAAAATATTTATTGGAGATCTTGAGTGTTAGTATTGCAGATATGACACCAAGTACCGTTGTCAAACCTTCACTAACAAAGCGATAATATTTAATATGTTCTTTTGGAATATCATTGAGCTGTTTATGTAGATAAAACACAAAATAAATAATATGGTAATCCTTTAATATCTTATTGTTGGTATTATCTTTACCATGTGGAAAATGTCACTAGCGCCATGAGAGTGACCATATGTTCTTTCATAAAGCTGACTAGTTACATACATATAATTAACATTCAAAGATTGAGAAAGAGTCAGAAGAATTATAACAACATGCCGAGATCCAAACCAATGATGTTCGCTAAAACCAACTGGAAATTATTATGTTAAATGTCAGTGAGGACAAAAATTAATATTCTCAAATTGTAGGTCAATAAGTCAATAAAATTATCCTGAGTAACTAGTAATACCTATATGTAAAAAATATTTAGTGTCTACTAATAACAATGTCGGCTACTCACCCATTTGGCACTACACAAAATAGTGTTTTGTAAAATAATAATGTACAATTTATTAAAATAAGATCTAATTCTGTTGGTGAGAAAACAAAACAGATGAGCATAAGTTTTGTTACACTCATGCTTAAACCATATGATGTGATCATAATTTTTTTGTTTATCCTTCTAAAATGGGTAATGTATTTTAATTATATGGAAAGGAATTAAGAGATAAACAGGAAATAGCAAAAAGATTCAAGAATTACTATGACTTATATTTAAAAAGATATCAATCCATCTGTCGATGTGGAAGGTCAAGAAATAAAACCTGGAATATTACAAGAAGAGTTTTTGAAATAAGGTGAAGATGGCAATGCTACAGGTTTGAATAGAGTGGCTCTGGGGCATAATAACTGTAGGAAAAACTGCGGTCAACTTCCTGATAGATCTGTTAAATGGTTGGCTAATTGGTCTGTAGCAGCACCTATTTAAAACCAGAAAAGATTCTATCAGCACCTTTCATTCAGTGCAACAGGCCAGCTTCAAACCCTCATTCTGTACCACTGATCAAATTTTCTCCATAAAGAAAAGGAAAGCCAGCAATTCTAAAAATATTCAGCAATAAACAATAGATCTTTAGCAATTATCCCACCGAAGACCCATCTGTGTGGTATTAATACAACTAATAAGAAAACTTTTCAACTTGATACTGAAATTGACAAGAAAAATCAAATCACTTAATTTTATGATGATTAGGTTCGAATTCTGTGCTATGCTACTTAACTCACAACTGATGTTAGCAAAATGTTGAAATGGGTATGACAAAAAAAACTAGCGAGGTTAAACATCATGTAGATGTTTAAGATGAACTGAACTGCAGGTTTATTAACAATTTTATTAAATTCTTAAAGCCAAAATTAAATATTTTTCACTTGATACCTACATTATATCATCAAATGGAATTCATTTTCTGATCAACTTTAATAAACTACCCAAATATATTCTTACAAAACCAATATATGGAAGTCATAGAACAATATTTAATAATTTAATTTTAATTTGATTATAATGTTGATAAATCTATGTTGTATAGAATAAGCAATAACTTTTGATTACATATTTTTTATTTCATTAAATTATATAACCACAGTTAGCATGACAACTCTTGGCTTGTAAACCCTTTGGTCACGGGTTTGAATCCCACCATCTTCCTGATCCATTTTTTCATGTATCCCCCCC